ATGAAAAGTCCACTTTTCTTGAAAATGGGAGGGGGCGCTCCCGAAGTTTGCCGAAGCTCGAACACCCAGGGATTTCGAACACCCCTTAAGTGAATTCCGGGGTTTTGAAATAACATTTTATGTTTCACAACCCTAAATTTGGGGAAGGAGGGCCCTTGAAACATGTCCCTCCGAGATCCAGTTCAACCTTAACCACGAAAGAGAACCTACCTACAGTCCAAACTTTTGTTCAGCCACCGCCTGCTCTTGCCGATCATGCTACTGTCCCAGCACAGGCTCTGCAACCCGACCCTTCTCCGGGGCGAGCACAGGTGTCAGCTTGAGCTGGAATTATGTAATGGATTTGGCGGCCTGGGCTCCTACCAAAGGGAATTAGAGAGCGTGAGGCATTCTCTTTTCTTTTCCTTTTGACTACATCTGGTATCAGGTGTACCGGTTCTGTGGCAGCAGGTGTGATTTGAAGGAAAAGAACAAGCGAAATGGCGGCCAAGGTCAAAGTGCTTCGGAAAACTGGCAACGAGCCTGGCATCTCCTCAGCCGCTCACCTGAGGACGGCTCACAGCTCGGGAGGCCTGCATTCCAAGCAGGAAAGGCAAAAACTGGGCCGCCCTCCCTCTTGTAGAAGCCGGGAGGGTTCTATCCTGATGCCTTTTGTTAGCCTTTTGATCCCCTTAGCGTGGCTGAATGTGAGTATAAATGCAAAATCATATACCAATTCACTCACACACACACATATGAAAATCACACATACGTATATATGCTTATATATACATATATATGGCCAGTGACAGAGAGACCCCTCCTTTAAGAGTAATAAAACTTTTGACAAGCCGCGCAGAAGGCAGATTCTAAATTTAAACCCAAGAGCCCATTCAAGACCTTTTCTCGGAGTCAAGGCCACAGGAGCACTCCCTACGTGGAATTCATTTCTCCAGTTTTGGTAACTGTAGAAGGGGAATTTCAAACAGCGACAACCTGCATTTCATTCGGCAGGAAGGAAAGAGACTTTAAGAATAAATGACCTCAGCTCAACTATTGTCAATGTGTTTCCGATGCCACATTGTTGCCATCCTGAAATTTGACTACAGATATCTGAAGCCTTAGATAACTAAAGGAACCATTTGAGCCTTTAAAAAGTCACGTGCTGAATTTGGGGAGTGGTCTTAATGTTTTAATGATAAAACAGAATCGCATTTAAGAGACGGATATGAAGTCTAAATTTGAATTTCCCTCTTGATTCCTGAAAGGCGTATTCATTCAAGGTGACCAAAAAGAAAGTTTAAAAATGTACACACACACACACACACACACACACAGAGAGAGAGAGAGAGAGAGAGAGAGAGAGAGAGAGAGAGAGAGGGGGGGGGGGAGAGAGAGAGAGAAACTATAGCAGAAGCTCTGTAGTGGTCAGGCCAGAGGTGAGCTGTAGATCCTGGCTCCTTAATTCAGACTGGTGAATTTAGACAAGAACTTACAGGCTAGAAATACTTGAGTCCAAGTTACACAAATGAAGCTCCATCTCTGTAGACTATTGCCCATTTACAGAGTTCCTTGAAATCTGGCATCCTCTTTATATTGTTATTTATATGACCCCAGAATGCCCTTGAGCGCCTGTGATAATTATAGGAAGAACTAGCAGCAATGACTACCTGTAAACAACATTTTTACAGTCTGTGAGAGATAGCCAGGAAAAATAGAAACACAATTGGGGGGGGGTGCAAATGGACCCATTAATATGTCATAATCAATGTTGTATGGTGTTGCGTTTTCTTGCCTTCCTGGTTATTGCCAAAGCTGTTTTTTGTTTGTTTGTTTGTTTTGTTTTTTTTTTTTTTTTTTTTTTACAGGAACACTCATTGAAAAAGAATCATGCTGCTGCCCTTGTTTTGGGGAACACGTGTGAGCTTTTTCCATGAATCCCTATTGTAAATCTCTAGGCCAGCCATACCTTGAGAGAATAGTCCAGCTTAAAGCTGTCTCCTCCCTGACAGAACTGGGAGAGAGAAATCCTCCTCTTCTCCCCAGATTCAGGTCAGATTTCCAAGTCCCTCATTCAAGCCACGCACACAGTGCCGGCAGCACAAATCAAGCTGTAGCTTGGAGCTTTACTGATTTCCTCCTGAAAAGTTCCCCACCTTGCAGGAAGGCTAGCTGTGTGTCTGTGGGGTGTCAGTGGCTATCTGTCACCCACTTAAAGATCCCTGGGCTCATTTTGTAAGTTCATATGAGCAAATCTGACAATAGAGATACATTTTAAAAGGAAAACTGGAGTGCAATTTATGAAGTTATCTGTCTCAAGTATAAAGGGAAGTTTTTATAAGCTGCTGAGATCTTCTTCCGCAAAGCATTGTGCTTCCTCTAAGTACCAGACATCTGAAGTCTAAAGCTGTGATTGGCACACCCTCTACCTCCTCTGACAGTGTCTCCTAATTTCGGACAAAGATAGCCAAACATCTAAAAATAGTATAAACCAAGCAAGCCTGCTTAATCACTGTGCAGCTGTTAAATGCTGAAAAACGATACAAGTCCTGTCCCTGCCATGTCACTATCACTGTACTTTAGCCTGTGTGCTGCCCTGATACAAACACTGTCTTCGGATGAGTGGGGGATGCACTGAGACGGAGACCTTTCATCCTTTTTTTTTTTTTTTTTTTTTTTTTTTTTTTTTTTTTTTTTTGGTTTTTCGAGATAGGGTTTCTCTGTGGCTTTGGAGCCTGTCCTGGAACTAGCTCTTGTAGACCAGGCGGTCTCGAACTCACAGAGATCCACCTGCCTCTGCCTCCCGAGTGCTGGGATTAAAGGCCTGCGCCACCATCGCCCAGCACCTTTCATCCTGAGACAGTCCCTACCAGTGCAGCTTTGTAAATTTGGGAGACATTGGTTCTTGGCACAGTGATCCAATGGTGAAGGTTGGCCTCTGATCTTTGGGCTTTTCATTTGGTTTCCTATTGCTGCTCTCTGGGAGAATCTTGAAAATCCCAATCAGGTTGGTGAAATTCTTTAATATAGTTCATAGGCAGTCTGTTCTGCTCAAAGGAAGTGTTTTTATTTGCTTTTAACTAATATAGTTTTTCAAAGAACACCTTCATTTTCCATTTTACTTCAGATCCATGGTAGTCATAAATTGACAACATTTTATCATTGTTATTCTAAAATAAGATCTAGCAGATAAATGAGTTCTTATGCCAGATGTCAAACAAGCTAATGTCCAGGAAATTCTTCCTGTCACCGGGTATATATATATACAACACAACAATTATATATATATAACAACACAACAATAGTAGACTCTCAACTAAGTAAGCAAAATCCTCAGTGCGGGGAACCATTTGGTAGTCTTGCTGCAATGGGAGAAGGGAGATGGTTTCCGCGACACCATTGCTATTATTGAAATTAAACAGCTTTGGGAGAATAAAATTGCTAATAAAAGGCTTCTTCTCCACGCCCCTCATGATTCCCCTCCCCACATTCTATGACATGCTATTCAGATGTATGTAAGTAGAATTACGTGGAACCTAGTGGTCTACTGTACAAGGTCTCATCTATAGGCCAGCAAGGAAATGAAGATGGGGGTGACCTCACTATATTTAGGGGATTGTTGTCTGAGAAAACACATTCACGTGTTTTGATATCGATGTTTAAACTTTTCCTCTTTATGAATGCGTCACAATTTTTCAAACCAACCGCGCTCACCCTCTAGGGTACCGCCGTGTTTGTGCGTTAAAGGCGGCCATGAAATCATTGCATGGGGCTGGTTTAATGCGTTTAACAGAGAGCTAATGGGTTGTCTGTGTCAGAAAGCATGCTCCCATTTCTAATCTCGTCACGTACTGAAGCGGGTTTTGTGGGATTCTCTAGCTTCCACCTTTATCTATCCTGGACGCTCCTACTCAGGAAAATCTTTCCAAACGCTTCCAGCTTCTCTGACAGCTGCCAAAAGTGTCCTGCTTTCTGCCCTCCTCATTTTCGGCCCATTTTCGTCATAGTTAACAATAATAAATGGTCCTAGCAGTTTAAAACCTCACTTGAAATGATCTGGTGAGCTTCTGCCTTGTTTCTTGCTTTGAACTGTAATCTCAATTAACTCAGTATGTTTAACTTGCTCAGCTCTCCAAGCTGGAGGAGACCAAAGCTACTTTTGTGCTGAATTTTACATTTTTCCTCCCAGAGTGTGCGTTGTGAGCATATATACATATGCACTCGTGCATGAGCACGAACACACACACGCGCGCGCGCGCACACACACACACACACACACACACACACACACACACACAGAGGGGGAAGAGAGAGAGAGAGAGAGAGAGAGAGAGAGAGAGAGAGAGAGAAACTCCGCAAGAAAGAAGCCGGGATGCCCTGTGAATAACGGAGACTTGGGGCTCAGTCTTAACCCCTGCGCGGGGAATCGGGGGTTGGGGTGCGGGCGGGTGCACGAGCCCACCTACAGCCGCCTCTCTGACCAGGGAGCCGACAGCCAGAGTGAGGACGCGAGGATGCCCCGTGGGCCCCTGCATTAGTGTGTCACAAAACAGAATGACTAGGCTCCCGTGATGAAGTAAAAGTTCCGGATCGCTTGAGGGCCCGGCACCGCCACCTTGCCCAAGCGAGGCGCTGGCTGGTGGAGCCGCCTCTAGGGCTGGCTGGACTGGGTGGAAGCCCTCGCAGGGGGTCCTGCGGCACTAGCTTTTGTACTGCCCCTCCTAGGCCAGTTGGGAGCTGACGTACCGGCTCCCCAGAGACGCTGGGGGCGTCGCACTGCAGCTGGGTGGGGAGCAATTTATTCCTGGCGGTCACATCCCACCCCATCTTCTGTTACTCCACCCTACCCCTCCCATCCCTCCACCTCTTCCTCCTCCTCTTCTACCAACGCCCGCACTATCTTCTGATTCCCCTGGTCTTCACCCTCCATTCTCTTTCTCTCCCTTTCTTTTCCTCTCTCCCTTCCCCACCCCCCACTCTTCCACATCCCTCCCCCTCCTCTGAAAAACCAAGCTTTTGCCTCTAAAAGTCACAAGATGAGAGAGAGAGAGAGAGAGAGAGAGAGAGAGAGAGAGGCCTGCGGTGACTGGAAGACAGGAGGGCATCTGGTACATCTGGGAGTGGAAACTTGATGCCTCTGGGCCAAGATTTGTCAGGGCCACCGCCTAAGGTGAGTACACTGGGGGCCCAGGAGTTCCCACTTGGTAGGGTCCAAACCCTGCCCAAACCTAAAAGACCTGCGGTAGTCAAAGAGCGGTTAAAACTGGGATGGGGTGAGGGTCGGGGAAGGGCTATAAAAAGGTCCCTGGCCAAATGGGTGCTGTAAGCCTGCTTCGTGGCTCCTAGCTCAGGCTCTTGCCCAAGGCTGCTTCCCAGCCCGCGTGGGGAATCTGCGAAGGCTGTGCCTTCCTTCCAGCGTCTTCTCCCAATGCCGACCTTCCCGCAGCTGCCCTCCTCACACATCCGCGTTCAAGGGACGCTCTGGCGTCAGGAAGTAAGGAAGTGTGCGTCTCTCAAACCTTGAAAGGGGAAAGTTTGGCAAAGCGGGCACTCTCTGGTTCTACCGTTCCCTCGAACCTAACCTAAGATTCCTAGATGGTGCAGAATATTATTTTCCCTTTAAAAAAGAATGACTTTAACGAAAATTCCTATGTAGTCAAAAAGATTATTGGACACCATGACTGATCAGCTGCTGCTGACCTACCAATAAGCGTTTTTAAATACACACGTACATTCATGCGTGCCCCTCTACACGCAAACACACTCGGGGGGCTCTGAGTAATGAGTAAGAGAGCTCTAAGTTAGCAAGAATTAAGAGGGACTCTAAAGGGCTTTTAAATGTTCTGTATGTATGCTCCATTTGTGTGCAGCTGGGAGGTGGCGCTGAAGGAGCACTCGTTGGCCGGGCATTTTCTCTGTGCCTGTGTGTTGCGTGTGTTGTCAGCTGGCTCTGGTTTCTAAGCACTGAGTGTTGCCAAAGGCTGGGGCCAGCATCCACCATCCACCTCGGCACCCTAGTGGCAGAACAGGACTCATTTGTTTGGTGCAGAGCGGTGAGGACCTGGAAGAGACTGGAGTGTAGTTAGGTCGGCCCCCTGCCATCTAATACACCTGCGGCAGATGGCTCAAGGGGTAGAACGGTTTTGTTTGCCAGGATCAAGAAAGGAGGGGGAGGGGGAGGGAATTCAGCCTCGCCCCACTCAAAAGAAGTGCCATAAAGAGCCAGGAAAATGAAAGTAGCCACGTCCATACTATCAAAAGCAACAATGTTGTCCCCTCCCCTGAGTTATCCGGGTTAGTTAGTGACCTTGATGCCTGGTCCCAACAGATAACTTGGCAGAATTTTATGAATATATTTTTTGATGAAATTTTTGCTCTTCACACACACACACACACACACACACACACACACGCCTCTCCAAGTAGACACAGGTGTCCTTGAAGCTCCTTTCCAAGAAGCTGAAGGAAACACCACTCGAAATCCAGAAACCATCCTCTCTTCCAGAGATCTTCATCCACTTAGACTGCCAACTTCCACAGAAAGGCTTCCTCCGCAGACAGTCAGCTAGCTGGGATCAGAAGGCTTCAAAATGTATCTCTCTCATTCTCACATCCAGTAATGTTCCTTTCTGATCAATATTCTCATCCTCGCATCCTTCTCTTCCATGCTACTCAACAAGCGGGGAAAGAAGCAAGCACACCGGGCCTGGTGACTGTAGAGCACAGGCAGATGTGACAAAGAACACAGACCCAGTCTAATGAGCTCAGCCTGTTCTCAATTGTTTAATTCTACACTGAACCTGAGGCTGAAGCGAGAACAAACCAGGGGACACCAAAGCACACAAGAGACTTGCCTCCACCCTTGCTCCGCACACATCGCTATTCCCATACACACCTATGTTTTCATAGCAAGTATTTTCATGGTTCTTATGAAATAAATGATTATGTTGATCTAATTTTCTGTCCTAAATCAAGTTAATTTCCTTTACCCAGGATATACTATGCTAGCTTGGAGGGGCTGGTTGTTACGTAGATGCAGAGAAATTCCACCATTTTGAAGCACACATTCTATTTTTCTGTATTTTTCACATTAAGGCCAAATAATATTTCGAGTTGTACTAAAAACAATTAAACAAGAATTCATTCTAGTTATGATTTGGGGGGTCACAAATAAGACACAATCTAAAACCCCCACGTAGAAAGGGGGAAAAACAAACCAAAAACAAAACCCACCATTTTCCAAGGTGCTTCCAATACCTGAAGAGCCCTGTGAACTGGGTTGCTTTGGCTGCATGCTTATGTGCAGTGCATAATTTAATTGTTCTGCGATCATTTTCCTTCCCTATGAGGTTTTCATTTTTCAAGGAGAAACTACATTCAGCAAGCTATAATACTCATTGGGAAGGATATAAGAATAGCGTTGTCTTTTATGCAGTGTTAGTAATATGAGTTTATGCACAAAACATACAAATTGCTAAGGTGAGTCCATATGTTACCAAACTCACTCCTATCCACTTGACAGGAAAATTAGAACAAGAAAGTTGCAATTATAAAAATGAGGTAAGGCTTTTTAAACTTCTCATAGATTTTTGTTTTATTTAATAGAAAAGGAAATTGAAAGACAGCTATTTTAAAACCTGCTTTTAGGGACACTAGGAACATCCTGTTTTATGTAAAGAAGAAAGGAATTAGCAAACTTTTTCATTTCTGCAGAATAGACAATAACTTAGCCCGACCAAAGCTTCTTTCCCACCCTGTCCTTTTCCTGAGTTAACCATGTAGACCCTGGTTCCAACCAGTGTTCTAAAGCTAAGAATGAGAATTTTCAATATGAACTCTTGACCTTCGAATTAACAGGTGAATTTATTGTTTTTTAAAAAACACCTGGGATTTGTTAATAGGCGACATTTTAAACTGAAACCTTGAAGACTCCAAATGCTAGTTCAAATGCTCCAGTATTTTAAGGGGGAGAAATCTGCCTTAATATTTGAACAGGTTAGTCCTGAATCCCAGTAAGGTTTCAGAGGCCCCGCTGACCTAGGACCTGGCACGTGTAAAGGAAACATGTAGAAAAGAGGGGATGCTGGGTCCCCTCCCTCCTCTACTCGCTGCTGGGACCACCTACATCACATGTTTTCATATGAAATGCCTATTTGACTTTACAGAAAGACTCATGAGACAAAACCTAGAATACCCAAATTGTGCTCAGACGTACTTTTTATAAAATAGACATACTTTAACCTATCTACTTTGAAATACTCTGTCTCTGTCTCTCTGTCTCTCTCTGTCTCTCTGCGTGCTCTCTCTCTGTCTCTCTGTCCCTGTCTCTCTGTCACTGTCTCTCTGTCTGTCTCTGTCTCTGTCTCTGTCTCTGTCTCTCTCTCTCTCTCTCTCTGTGTGTGTGTGTGTGTGTGTGTGTGTGTGTGTGTCTAGCCTTAGGTCTCAAAAGCATCACCATCATTCCATGTTTTCTGAATGCAGTGCCCGGGGGTAAAGGTGACAAAGCCATCCAGTACCCAGAAGGACTTAACCATTTTACAGGCCTATGGCGCCAGGCATTTTAAAAGATACACTCTTCAACTGGCGCTGAAATAGGTGTGGTGGTGGAAAAGACTATATTATAAGCCCAAGCCCAAGTCAATTAGGATTTCGACATTTTCTTGGGCCATAGAAAACCGAAGGAAGGACTGTGGTCAGCTGCATTTGCAGGTCCCTAGGGTTCCCAGAAGAAAGGACTTTCGGCTTGTGGGTTTGTGTGTTGCCTGTGTGATCAAGCCCCTTCTGGAGGCCCCTAAAGTCCTGTAGAAATTATAGTTTTGCCTTTCCTGGAGCATCAATGGCTAGGGAGGTCCCAAGAGCCTTAAACACAAAGCTCTTGAATCTCCCCAAGACCAGAGAATGCAGGTTCTCCAGGTCAGGGCCACCCCGACGGCCCAAGTGCGGAGCTCAAGGGGCCAGTAGGTGTCGCTGTTTCCCTGCTGGCAGGAGCCTGGAGCCCGACGTTGGCCCCTAGCACCACTCAGCTTTTGGCCCAGGATGCTCTCCCAGCCTCCTCTGAGATTCAAGGATGTGATGGTCCCTCATTTGTTTCCCCTTAAACTCTGCCCTGGCTCACCTGGCCATGGCCGCAGTAATCGACCTAAGAAAATATCTATGGAGAGAGAAAGGAGAGACGAATTTGGTGGAGTCAAAAGGCCGCCCCTACGGAATAGGCTGAAAGTCTTCTTCATCTGCCACCCACGCCCCCTTCTTTCTCTTCACAAGCCGAGGGTGGTGGAGGGCGTGGGCTGTCGGGAGCACCCTGGTAAAACCCAAAATTGAAGAATTCAGACATGGTTCTGATTTAACTTTGAAAATAAACAAGAGGTTCAAAACCAGCTTCCCGGGAACTAGCCACAGAAAGAGTTTTTATATCCTTGTCTCAAAAGACAAGGAAAAAAAAGGAGATGGGGGAGGGGCAAAACTCTAAGCTTGGACCCTGAGCTACCTATGATTTTTGACCACATGCCTGTAAGCAGAATGTCGGGTGAACGCATAGGCCACCCCTTGCTCTGGCCCAGAAAGGAAATTTTGAAATACACTTGTCTCCTCTGCTTCCCTCTCCAAAGCATTGTTTACTAAGTGTTAATCTCCTCTGGATAGGGTTAGCTCATCTTTGGAATCTGTGTTAAGATTCTAGGTATTGAGAATTCTGCTCCTTTCTCTGGCATCATGTGGGCCCCTGGCTTTGGCTCAATATGCAGCATAAGCGATTATTAATCAGAGGCGTTCTTTTTGTGTCTTTCAAAAGGGGATAGCATTTGGCTTGCAGATTCCAAGAGAGACACTTAACAATGGTTATATCCTATTGATGGCTGGAGGTTATTACAATCCTGATTTCTTTGCATAGGGCCCTCACTTCTCTGATTAGAAGGTGGCAGGGGAAGATGGCATGAAACACCCTAAATTCAGTCTTGTGCAGTCGCAAGGGGTACGGTGAAAATGGAACTAGCTCTGTATTTAATTTGAGTCTAAGAAGAATATCTTCAGTCATGAGTTAGCTGTATTTGTTTTTAAGGACCCATACTGCTGTGGTTCGTGTAAAAGTAAAACATTCGTAAAGAGGAATACCATAACAAACAGAAAAGTAGAAAACAGGAAAAAAAATTCTCACCTAAAGTCCCAAGAACA